GCTTTATGGTTACAAATTCTTCACCTAAAACCAAGATTAATGGGCCAGGTTTCCTTCTGTGGGGCAGGTTTGTTTCTATTTGCCTTATACCCAAGGTATAGCCCTGGGGGGGGGGGTCCCAGCTTTACACAGTGGCTTCTTTTTGGACTCCCTCCTTGAGAGTTTGTCTCCCATTTCCTGTATCCCCGTGGCCATCAGAACTGAAGTTCAAGGTCACAGATGTTGAATATGTGCTTCCAGGGCAGCTGGCAGCTTCAGCATTAGCGCACCTCTCTGAATTCTTACTCATAGTTCATTTCTGGCCTCAGAAGATTTGATTCTATACTCACTTGCCAGCTCAGCAATGCACTTAGAATTTTTTAAAAATATTTTTTATTCAGCATTTTTAGTTGTTTATAGTGGCAAGGCTACTGAGGATACTGTAGGACTATTGTCTGCCTTTTAGTTTTGTTTATAGTATGCATTTTTCCTTTCTTACATCTTTAGTCAACCCTCCAGGGAGGGAGCCTGGTCCACTGGGAGCCATGTCCTGTACACAATGTGGCCATTTTTTTTTTTGCCTCTCAGAGACTGTGGTGGAATTCCTTGAGCTGACTGGGGTCTGGGACTTCTACTCCTGTCCTCTAAAGAAAGGGACATTGCTACTGCTTCAAAAGCCCTGCCATCCTCACCAATGGCTGTGTCTCACACTTGTCTTAGGGCTTTAACAAAGCTAAGTTCATTATGTTCCCTTAGCTCACGGCTTGCCAGCATTGGTGCGTGGGTTTTGAGTCCCTTCCACCTCCCTGTGTTCACTTTTTTCTGCTTCCTCTGAGAGTAATTTCTCTCATTGTGCGGAATTAACCATGAGGATAAAGAAAGCATCCTCAAACCTTTTCACCTCCTCCAGCGAGGAAGCCAACTTGCCTTTACAGCTAAGAGAGGAGGAACAAAAGGGAGTCTGCCTGTGGGTCACTGCTGTCTGTAACCCAGGGTCCCAAGTTGAACACACGGACTTTGTGGCTGCCTCTGGGAACGCTCTTTCACATCCCTTTCTAGTTGAGTGTGGGCCTTGCCTGCCTGGAGCTGGACCCTGGAGGAGCCCAGAGGCCTTGGCAACTTGCCTCCCCCTCCAGGAAGCCTCTGTTAATTATCATCTACGGGAAACAGAATAGGGGGCATAGAAACAGCAGTTCTCAAGGGATTTGGGAAGGAAATGATTCCCTTAGGAAAGTTTGTCAGAATCTTTTATGGAAGTTTTTATAAACCACCACCCCTCATCCCAGATAAGTGAGCTGCTGCTTCTGTTCGGCATGGGCCAGAGTGGGGGAAATTGTTCAGAACCATTGATTTATACCCGCAGTGCCTGGTAAGATGGCCACTAGCCACTTGTGTGTGCAGCTCTTAAAGTGTGGCTAGTAAGATACTCACTGGATTTTAGAGGCTTCATATAAAAAAAAAGAAGATGAAAATCTCGTATTTTTGTACCAATTACATGTTGAAATGATAAGATTTTTGATATGTTGAATGAAATTAAATATCATTAAAATTAATTTTACCTTTTTTATTTAAAAAATGTGGCTGCTAGAAAATTTGAAGTTACATTGAAGAGATTGTGTTTCTGATTCACTTTATTTCTTAGGTAGCACTGACCTAAAATGTAACACGTGTGTGTGTGTGTGAGAGAGAGAGAGAGAGAGAGAGAGATTTGGATATAAACTGTGGGTTCTGCCTACAGCCTCTCCTTGTCAGATGGTTTGCCATTTTTGCCCGACTCATAAAAATAGAAATGATTTCATTCATCCCCACAGAGGTTTCTCAGCAGCGCCAATAGCCCCCAATCCTAAGCAGAAAGAGAAATATCATTCCCAAATGCGGATGATAAAAATGGTTTTTTCAAGAAGTCATGCAGTCAGCAGTAAGTTCACATTCTCCTTGTCCTCCTCCTCGCTCTCTGCGAGCTCATTATACTCAGCGCCCCACAGCACACATATTTCCAACTTGTGTCCATATTCGTTTGGAAGTACAGGCAGAAGCCTCTAATAGTGCTAAATAGTGTCCATAGATGTTATCTGATTTTGTTGTTATCTTTCAGGGGCCCCAGCAGTGGCTCAGCTTTGGCTTCCAGCCTGTGGTTGGGTGGGGTACAGACTTCTCCAGAGTAACCAGGCAGCTTTCTTGGTTTGGACTGGGTGTCCCACCCACTTGCTCTGACTCCAAACTTCCTGCCTTGACAAGTGACATCTGATACTATAGGTGATTTCCTAAGCTTCCAGTTTTTTGTTTTTTTGGGTTTTTTTGGCTGGGTCTAGGTTTGAACCCACCACCTCCGGTATATGGGGCCAGCGCCCTACTCCTTTGAGCCACAGGCACCTCCCCCTAAGCTTCCAGTTTTACCCCAACTTTAACTTCATCCACAGATTATTTTTATTTATTTATTTATTTAATTAATTTTTTTTTCTAAGACAGAGTCTTACTATGTCGCCCTCAGTAGAGTGCTAGGGTGTCATAGCTGACAGCAACCTCAAACTCTTTGGGCTTAAGTGATTCTCTTGCCTCAGCCTCCCAAGTAGCCGGGACTACAGGCGTCTGCTACAATGCCTGGCTATTTTATTTTTAATCGGAGTTGTCGTTGTTTGGCAGGCCCTGGTCAGGTTCAAACCCGCCAGCCCTGGTGTATGTGGCCAGCACTCTAGCCGCTGAGCTACAAGGCGCCAAGCCCACAGGTTATTTTTAAACTAATACCCTCTTTGCCGTCATCTTGGGTGTTATGGAAGTAAATTATTGTTTAAATATATTTTCTGACTAATACAAACACATTCCTAATTATAAACTTCAGGTAAGAGTCCATACTCAAGAACAGCATTTCCTCAGCACCCCTGAACTGGAAATATGCAGGTTATTATGAAAGTTTTGAGACAGACTGTATTATGGTCTTTCTAATTCACCCATGCAAGTTGCAATTTGCTGGGCCCATTGGTGTTGCTGGGAGGACTTCGTGTGTTTCTGTCTGTGTAGATTTTACTTTTCTTGGTTTTTGTGTATCTCAAAACTTTCGTAATGACCCACATAACACTCCTCTCCTACGTATAATCTGCCAGCTGAGGACAGCAGAGAGGTGAGGGGCTTGGGTTTATAGAAGACTGCTTGGTGGAATCCTGGCCCTCCTGCTTGTTGATGGCGTGACTTTGGCAAGACACATGTCCCCCCACCCACCACGCCTCCATCTCTTCTTACTTAAGATGGGAGAATAAGACCCCCTGTCTCCGATTTTGTGTATGGATTAAATTAATACATGCTAGGCGCTCACCTCTGTGTTTGATACGTGCTTGCTGTTAGTGTTATTCTTTTTACAATGGTTACTGCATTCAGAAATGGGGTTAGTGTTGCTCAGGCTGGTCTTGAACTCCTGGGCTCATGTGATCCTCCCACCTCAGTGTTCTGAGCAGCTGGGACTATTCAGATGTAGTGTGCCACCGTGTGCCGCTCGTGCTACAGTGCAGCTTGCTGTTGTTAACGTTAATGTTTTTCACAAAATAAAACTGTTAAATCTAAATACTATTTTGAAGCCTGTTGTTTTAACTCAACAATACCTATAGAATAGCTTTATTTTACGGCATCATTTTAATGACCATGTTGTGTCCTTTTGTGTGGATACTGTAACTGATTTTACTGAAATTCTACTGTAAGATTTTTAAGTTCTCTCCTTTCCTCCCTCCTTCCCTTCCTCCCTTCCTCCTCTTTCTTTTTCTTCTTTTACTTTCTCTTTCGTTTCTTTTTTCTTTCTTCTCTCCTTTCTTTCTCCTCCCTTTCCTTTCCTTCCCTTCCCTCCCCTTTTCTCCCCTTCCCTCTTCTTTCCCTGTCCTTTTCCTTTCCCGTCCCTTCCCTTTCTCTTGCCCTTTCCCCTCCTCCTTCCCTTCCCTTCTTTCTTTATTTCTTTATCTCTTCCCTCCCTCCCTTCCTTCCTCCCTCCCATCCTTCCTTTGATATTATAAATAGTGCTATAATGACCATCAGTGTAAGAATGTTTGTCAACATTGTTATTTCCTTAGATGAATTCAAAGCAGATGAAATTATTGCCTCAAACCTATTTATATTAAAAAAGTTTTAGTAACATTGCCAAATTCTTGGCCTGTTTTATCCTAATTGAGCATGTCCCACCTCCTGCCTGCAAGAGTAGGTGCAAGGATTCGGGGCTGCCAGCTTTTACCTTCCTGTCTCCCCAGAGGGCACAATTTGCAACCTTGGCATGTAGGCAGCACCTCCTGCCCTCGGCTCACATCTGACCTTCCTCCTCCAGGCCCCTCTCTGAACCTACGCGGGTACCCGAGGGTCACATCCTTGGCCTTGAGCCCCATGCTGATCTCTTCCTATCCATTTTCATCATTTATCCTGCACACTATAAGATTTATTTTTTGTACAAGAAAAAAATAAAAGGTTTTAATTTTTATTTCAATAATCTTTTTTAAAATTTGCATTATTTTTAAAATTTCAGATTAATATGAAGGTATAGATGACTAGGTTACCTTGTTTGCCTTTGTTAGATAGAGTCCAAGTTGAAGTTGTGCCCCTTACCCAGGAGGTGTGGCATATACCCTGACATTGTGCCCGTTAGCTGAGGGCACACCAGTCCCCTCTGCCCCCCCCCGCCCCTCACTTGAGTTACACTATAAATTTAATCCTACATTGCTTTATAATTTCTTCTATTGTATTGTAAGAATAATTAATGTAGGAAAAAAAGAAAGATGAAATCACTTTACTTGAATCCATTCTCCACTGCTGTATCTCGTGGTGTCTTTTCTGACTTCCTTTCTGCTCTTCCTGATGCATTTGCTTCTTATTTCAGCCACTCCAAGGAACGACTGGCCAGAGAGCAACACTGAACCCCACACAGAAAACATCACTTTCTATCAGAATCCAAAGGACTTTTCAACAGTGGCCTCCAAAGAGACCTTTAGAAGTAACTTTGCTTCTTCAGATATCCCAGAGAACCTCACTCTACTAACAGAAACAGCTGCTGTTGGGGAAAGACATGACTCTTCAAATAGAACAGACTTCACCAATTCACCTGTTGGGGACTTGCCTGAGATGGCAACAGCTCTCACTTCCCAGAGCAACGCCTTAGGTGAGTTTGTGCTGGTGCTGCCCATTTGGTTCAAGTACGTTCAGTCCTGGGAAACAGAATTTTTGCCATTCCTTCCCCCTTACTCTGAGCCATTGTGTCCATCCAGGGGCCTGGGCTGGGTGGGTCCAACCTGTGACTTAGGCCTCATCTGTGGCATGCTGTTAAGTGCAGATGAGGTGGGGTGCAGACTTGCTGAGTAGCCCGTGGCATCTACAGTCCACGGCCAGTCAGAATACAAACCTCACCCCTCCAGGGATCCTGCCACATGCTGCAATCTCAGAGGTCTGTGAGATACGTAGCTGGGGAAGAAAGCCAGGCTTGGATTTTATTTGTGTTGATGTGGTTCAAGTGGTTGTTCTTGCTCTGGTCTGCCTGGCTTGGCGTTTTGCTATTTTTCACAAAGAATTTCAGGAAGGGGCTGGGGCTTGATAGGTAAGATTTGATTGAGGAAGAGAAGCCCTGATTGGGTACCTCCTGCGTACTGCCACGTCTGTCCTCCCAGTCCTATGCAAGCCCATGAGGCCACGTAATTCTCATTTTAGAAATTTAGAAGCAAGCTAAGAGAAGTTAATTAACCCAATGTATGTAGGTGAATCAGGTAATGGATTTTGTAGCTGGGATTACAGCCTACATCTGTGTATCTGAGTGAGGAGGCAGAGGGGGCTGAGGATGGGAATGCCTGGATAATGCGAGGGAAGGTATGGAAGAGAGAAAGGTGAGTGTGGCCTCCATGGGTGATACGACCAGCAGCCTTCCCTGGGAGGGCATATGTTGCCCACAGGGGAGAGGAGGAGGAGGTAGGATGGTTGTGTGGATGGGGTTAAGGACGGGCATGGAGGCCTTTGGAACCCAGGCAGTTTAGATTTGGTGTGGTGGGAAGAGTCACTGAAAGTTTCGAACAAGGGAGTGACAGGACTAATGTGAATTCAGGAGGGCCTGCCTGGTAGGCAGCTATGAGATGTCTGGTGTGAGGTGAAAGGATGGAGGGAACCTGGTCTTAGGACTACCCAGGCAGACAGAAATCCACACACCAGGTATAGCCTGGCAGCCACGGGAATAGAGAGGAAGGGATTCACAAAGGATAGTTGACAGGACATGGTCATGGCCTGAAGGTAGAGGATGAAGTGGTCGGTGACTTCATGGTTCCATGTCCTAGTCATAGCACCCTACTCACTTGATTCTGTAAAGAATACATAGGAGAGGGCGGCACCTGTGGCTCAGTGAGTAGGATGCTGGCCCCATATACCGAGAGTGGCGGCTTTGAACCTGGCCCTGGCTAAACTGCAACAAAAAAATAGCCAGGCGTTGTGGCAGTCACCTATAGTCCCAGCTACTCAGGAGGCTGAGGAAAGAGGATTGCCTAAGCCCAAGAGCTGGAGGTTACTGTGAGCTGTGATGTCCCAGTACTCTACAGGGGGCGACAAAGTGAGACTCTGTCTCTTAAAAAAAAAAAAAAACACATTGGAGAGTATTTTGTATCCCATTCATGAATGATAGCTACAGAGCTTAGAAACTCTACATGAGCTATTGCCTGGTTTTATTGGTCATCCAGATGTTGGGCATTTTGTTTTGAATTTGAGTAAATTTTGGGACCACCTTTGTGGGATGTGGGTGATGGGTCCTGACGTTCAGATACTGATCTCTGATTCCACGTCATCTGATACTTGGTTCTAGTGTGCCTGTTTTCTGATAATTTTACCACAGAAGGCAAAGTCTTTGTCTTGGTTTGCAGTCTCTAAGGAGTACATTTATCTTTTTTTTTTTTTTTTGAAACAGAGCCTCAAGCTATTGCAGCTATTGCCCTAGGTAGAGTGCTGTGGCATCACAGCTCACAGCAGCCTCCAATTCCTGGGCTTAAGTGATTCTCTTGCCTCACCCAGTCCCAGCTGGGACTACAGCCCAATGCCTGGCTATTTTTTGGTTGTAGTTGTCATTGTTATTTGGTAGGCCCAGGCTGGATTTGAACCTGCCAGCTCTGCTGTATGTGGCTGGCACCTTAGCCGCTTGAGCTACAGGCGCCGAGCCAAGGAGAACATTTTTCATAGAATAAATTATTGTTCTCAATTTCTTCTCATGTCTGTATATTTTATGAAAGTCAAAGTTGAACCCACTAAAGGCGTAATAAGACATTTTGAAGTCCACTGGTAGAATTTTTTTTTTTTTTTTAGACAGAGCCTCAAGCTATCCCCATGGGTAGAGTGCCGTGGCATTACAGCTCACAGCAACCTCCAACTCCTGGGCTCAAGCGAGTCTCCTGCCTCCACCTCCCAAGTAGCTGGGACCACAGGCGCCCGCCACAACGCCCGGCTATTTTTTGGTTGCAGCCATCATTGTTGTTTGGCGGGTCCGGGCTGGGGATTTGAACCCGCCACCTTAGGTGTACGTGGCTGGCGCCTTAGCCGGTTGAGCTATAGGTGCCGAGCCCACTGGTAGAATTTTAATTGATGCTGTCTGCTTTCAGCCTCAGACAGGCTTTCCCTGCCAGCCAGGAGTTCAGGGTCTGGAGGAAGAACTGCCTCTCTTCCCGTGGAGAGTGGACCATCCCAGGGCTCACTGAAGAGGGAGCTGGAGCTCTCAGAAGAAGTCACTGTGCACAGCCAAGTGGCTACCATTGCATTTTCCAGCCAGTCCTCTCTTCCTGCCCTGGAGGCCAGGAAGAGAAGTTCCTTGGGACCAGACCATTCCTTGGTGCATTTCTCTAAGACCCCAGCTTACTCTCCTGACCACTCCTCATGTGAGTATTCCTTTCCCCACATTGCCACTTTAGAGTCATTCACAATGGACATAAATAGATGTGTATAGCTCTCTAGTTGCTTACTGGTAATAGAGCATAAAGGGAAAAGACATTAAATGAAAGTGCCATTCCTCTAAAGCGGTGATTTTCAACTGGTGTGCCGTCAGAGGATCTTAGGTGTGCTGTGAAAAAATTTAAAGATCATTAATTAAGTTATTTTCTAAAGAAGTTCAAAGCATAGTATGTTCTTTTTTTTAGATCAGCATAATTTAAGTGTGCCATGGGAATTTAACTATAGGTTCAAGTGTGCTGTGAGATTAAAAAAGATTGAAAAACACTGTGCTGGCACCATGGCTCATGCCTGTAATCCTAGCACTTTAAGAGGCCAAGTGCTTGAGCTCATGAGTTCAAGACCAGCCTGAGTCGCTTGGCACCTATAGCTGAGTGGTTAGGGCGCTGGCCACATACACTGAGGTAGGTGGGTTCGAACCCAGCCCAGGCCTGTTAAAAAACAGTGACATCTGCAACAAAAAAATAGCCAGGCATTGTGGAGGGTGCCTGAAATCCCTGCTACTTGGGAGGCTGAGGCAAGAGAATCACTTAAGTCCAAGAGTTTGAGGTTGCTATCAGCTGTGACACCACAGCACTCTAGTGAGGGCAACATAGTAAAACTCTGTCTCAAAAAAAAAGACCATCTTGAGCAAGAGTAAGATCCTGTCTCTACTAAAAATAAAGAAACTAGTTGGGCATTGTGGCGGGCGCCTGTAGTCCCAGCTACTTGGGAGGCTGAGGCAAGAGGATCACTTGAGGCCAAAAGATGGAGGTTGCTGTGAGCTGTGGTAAAGCCAGGGCACTCTACCAGGGTGACAGAGCAGACTCTGTCTCAAAAAAAAAAAAAACAAAGCCAAGCATTTGGGGTACAAATACATACAGTCTATGCAATTTATCTTAGTATTGAAGTTCGTGTTTAAAATATGTTCTCTCTAACAGCATAAGGAGGAAAATCACAGTTGGTCTGTGCCTGCTTTAGGCCTTTCTGTCCACCACTCCCTGCCTCCCTGCCTCCCACCCCCATAGGCACATATGACAAAGTGTTATTGGTGTCTGTTTTTACACCACATGCTGGGGGGCATGAAATGGTGAGCATTGTACCATTTGATGAGGGGTTAGATTTTTATTTCTTCATTATTGCAAAAAATATTTTTTTCAAAGACCAAACAGGGGTATACATTTTCTCCAGGCATCATTTTGAAAAATAGTAACATACGCGATCCAGGAGTCTGCAAAGCGTGCCGTGAGGAGCTACAGTGGAGTCCTCTCCCCTCACTGCCAGTCTGGTTCCCACTCCTCAGCTGCGTCTCAGCTCAAGCATTCCACGTCCGTGAGCCTTTCTTCAGCCCTCCGGCCCTCTGTGCTACTTCCCTTGTCATAACAGCTCATCTAAAGCCTCTCAGCCCAAAGAGATTAGTCTTCTTGAGGACACAGGCAGTGTCTGTTATTTTTCTCAGGGTCCCCACACCCTAGGACCAGGTATAGCTGAGAAGAAATGGGAATTAGCTTGCACCCATGCAGGGCATATCCTGTCACGGACCCCAGAGAATGTTGGGCCCCGCCAGCCTCCCCTCTCCTCTGAGGTTTCACTCTGGGTCTGTGTGGGCTGCCGTGCTTTCTTCCTCATACCACAGGGAGCAGCACAGAGAAAGCTGGAAATATGCTTGAGAAACAGAGGCTAGGTTGCTTCAGAAATCACCATGGCAAACTTTTTGAGGTTGAGGTTTTTAGAAGTACTCTGTAAGACACAGAATTTGGGTTTATGTCATCAAAGCAACAACTGAACCCAAAGGTCCCTTCTGGAATGTCTATTTAAAGCAGCCGGTTCCTCTTGCATGCACTCTGTATACCGTTTCCTGCTGACTGCATACGGATATAATTTACGATTTATGTTTTTAGAAGATTGCTTTTTAAGGTTATTCATAAACATTGGTTGGTCGGTTAAAAGCGACGATCCTTTCCTGCTCCAAAGTGCTGTGGTTCAGTAATTTATAACCAACTTTACTAAAGGGTGGAAACGAAGCATTTTCTAGGAAGCTACACTTTGATTGTGGTTAGGGTCATTTCATATTTATAGTTTAAATTCAACCTACTATTGTGGTAAATTTGAAAATTGTCCCATGTTTCCAACTTTATTAGACTTGATCTGTATTTACCTACATTTTTCAATACACAAAAAAATTGCCCCTCAAATTCTTTGAGCATTTGTACTTTC